CGATACTTCCCAGGGAAACCCCCAGTTGCTTTCAAATATTTCCGCATGTCTCGCCATCGCAGAAACATTGTCCAGCACGCTCGGGCCCCGCGGCATGGACAAGCTCATCGTCTCCGACCGTGGCGACGCTCAGATCACCAACGATGGCGCGACAATCCTCAAATTGCTCGACATCGTCCATCCTGCTGCGAGAACGTTGGTCGACATCGCGCGTGCGCAGGATGCAGAGGTTGGCGATGGAACGACCAGCGTGGTCCTCCTGGCGGCGCAGCTGCTGAAGGAAATCAGGACGTACATCGAGGAGGGCGTCAGTCCCCACATAATAATGAAGGGATTCCGCCAGGCGTCGCAATTGGTACGCGTCATTTAATCTGTACTTCGTTTTCAAGCCTCATCCGATTTTATAGGCCCTTGAGCGGATAAAGGCCATACAAATAACGGTCGACAAGTCGGATCCCGAGTCTGTTCACCCTCTGCTTTGTTTTTGCTCGTACTAATAGCCAATCAGGCGATTCCGATCTCTCCTCTTAAAATGCGCCTCCACCTCCATGTCCTCGAAACTCATCCACTCCGAAAAGCCCTTCTTCTCCAACATGGTCGTCGACGCCGTCCAATGCCTCGACCAAAGTGAACTCGACGAATCATTAATCGGCGTCAAGAAAATCGCCGGCGGAGGCATGCAGGACTCCCTCCTCATCAAAGGCGTCGCGTTTAAAAAGACCTTTACCTACGCCGGCGCCGAGCAGCAGCCCAAATCTTTCCGCGATCCCCTCATCGTGTGCCTGAACGTCGAGCTCGAGCTCAAGGCCGAGAAGGACAACGCCGAGGTCCGCGTAAACGCGGTGGCCGACTACCAGGCCATCGTCAACGCCGAGTGGGAGATCATCTACAGGAAGCTGCAGGCGATCGAAAAGACCGGCGCAAAGGTCGTGCTCAGCAAGCTCCCTATTGGTGACCTGGCCACGCAGTGGTTCGCAGACCGCGACATCTTCTGTGCGGGGCGTGTCGCGGGCGGCGACCTGCGCCGCGTCGTGCAGGCGGCGGGCGGTGCGATCCAGTCGACGTGCTCGGACATTCAACGCGAGCATCTCGGGACGTGCGGGTCGTTCCAGGAGAGGCAGATCGGAGGGGAGCGGTACAACTTGTTCGAGGATTGCCCGAAGAGCAAGACGTGCACGCTCGTGCTGCGCGGCGGTGCGGAGCAGTTCATCGAGGAAGTGGAGCGGAGTCTGCACGACGCGATTATGGTCGTCAAGCGAGCGGTGAAGAACGGCGAGGTCGTTGCTGGCGGCGGAGCCATCGAGGTGCGCTAAAACCTTATTCATTGGTTGCTTTTGAAGTCTAATACGAATCCGCCCAGATGGACCTCTCCGCGCACATCCGCAAACACGCGCTCTCCATCCCCGGCAAGCAGCAGCTCGTCATGACCGCCTTCGCCAAAGCGCTCGAGATCATCCCGCGCCAGATTTGCGACAACGCAGGTCTCGACTCGACGGACATCCTCAACAAGCTGCGCATGCGGCACGCGAACGGCGACAAATGGGCCGGCGTGGATGTCGACGGCGCGGACGGCGTGCGGGACAACATGGACGCGTTCGTGTGGGAGCCCTCGCTTGTCAAGACGAACGCGATCAGCAGTGCCGCGGAGGCGGCGTGTCTGATTTTGAGCATCGACGAGACGGTGAGGAACCCGCAGAGCGAAGCGGTGAGTAGCGTTTCCAATATTTCTCTTTTGAGTTGCCGCTTATGTTGTCGCGTTGTAGCAAAATCCGGGCCCGAGGGCACCGCCGGGCGCGGCGCAGCGTGCGCTGAGGGGGAGGGGCAGAGGAGGCGTGCCGCGGCGGTAGATGCGATGCTTACATGAGATGTACGTCTAGAAAAGGAAATGCTGAAATCAATCCTCATCCCGAACTCCAATTGCGCCATGGGTGTCCTATCATAAGAATGTCCTTTATGGCGTCTGTGGGTTTTCCGATGTCGCCATAATTAGCTCCCCTGCCAAGGAAGAACGGTGAGCCAGGAGATAGCTGGCTTACGGGCGGAGTATTTAAACAGACGACCTCGCGCGCCGGCGTTTTTTGGATTGTTGTCTGGACTTCCCTCCACCACCGGCGGCTATGACGACTTACCTTCCTGAGCAGCGCGAATCGTCCGAGGTCGATATCTCCGAGAAGGGCGACCTCAGCCCCACGGCGCGGTCATTCACCGATGACAAAGTCCCGCCGCTGGGTATTCCGATTGAGAGTCAGGCGAAGGGTCAAGGCTTCTGGGCGCGCTGGAGAGATTCGCCGGCGCGCGACCTCGACAGTATAGCTACGCAGCCGAGCGTTTTCGATGACCCTGTTACGCTCGAGGCGTATCGCCCGCCGCCTCAGGTTAGCAGAGCTCAATCAAACATATGTTGGCTTCCAGCTTATGTTCTGCCGCAGTACGAGAACACGCACCGCTTTGACCCAGCCGCGCGATGGACGTGGAGGGAAGAGAAGGTGAGCGAGCCCATTCGCGTCTGGCGTTTCCGACTCCGATACTCATTCATCCTCTAGCGCGTCGTCCGCAAGATCGACTTTCGTATCATGATATGGGCTTGTGCGTCGCGTTCCCTCAGACTCGGAGCGTATCCTCACCACCGGAAACACAGGCATCATGTTCTTCGCGCTGGACCTGGACCGGACGAACATCTCCCAAGCGAACACGGACAACTTCCTGGGCGACCTCAAGATGACGACGGACGACTTCAACCTTGGGAACACGCTATTCCGGCTGTCGTTCCTGCTTGCAGGTGCGTGCAGTCCGCCCATTCTACGTAAACACGGTTTGACTGGATGCAGAGCTGCCCTCGCAACTCATCTCGAAGCGCGTCGGACCGGATGTTTGGATACCTACGCAGGTCGGTCTTTATTTTTATACTTACCCGTAGCGCGGAATTGACTACTTACTCGTTGGCGTCTTGCAGATGATCTGCTGGAGTACGATCGCGTTCAGCCAGTTTTGGCTCCGCGGGAGGAAGACCTTCTTGCTCACGAGGTCCGTCCGTCTCCGTCCTCTATAGTATGGCATTCCACCTTACTGACATGCTCGCAGATTCCTGCTCGGTTTCTGCGAAGGGGGCTTCATCCCCGACGTGGTACTCTACCTCTCGTACTTTTACACCAAGAGCGAACGTACGCCGGGCCCTTCCTTAACGCATTAATATTTTTTTATTGACGACGCGTTTTTAGTACCGATCCGGCTGGCATACTTCTGGGTCTCGAACTACGCGTCCCACATCGTCAGCGCGTTCCTCGCCACCGGAATCCTGCGCCTCCGCGGCGTCGGCGGGCGGGCGGGGTGGCGGTACCTCTTCTTGCTGGAGGGACTCCTGACTCTCTCAGTCGGCCTGGGGTCGATCATCTTGATGCCGGTGAGGGTTTCGTTTTTGCGATTGCGTACTACTACTTATGAGTTGTTGTTGTTGCTCATTGACATCTTCGCTGCGTCTTATGTAGCCCGGTCCAACCCAGACCAAGAACAAGTATTTCAGACCAAAGGGCTGGTTTACTGACCGGTGCGCCATTCGAATGTCGTGTTGTTGTCATCCGGATTCTTATGGTCTCCAATGAAGGGAGGAAGTTATCATGGTTAACAGGCGAGTTTTCGCTGCCATCTAGTTGCGCCGACACCCGCTGAAGAGAAGACGACAACTTTGCAGAGTGTTGCGAGACGATCCTACGAAATCCGATATGCATAACCGTGAAGGTCTATCGCCGAAGAGAATCTATCAGGCCCTCAAGGACTGGCGGATGTGGCCGTTATACTGCCTCGGGCTTGTTCACATGAGTCAGCGCCCTTGCTCTCATACTACCCCACTTACTCAACGACACCCAATGCAGTCCCGACCGGACCTCCGCAGGTTCATACCCCCGCTCAACATCTATGTCCGGCGTAACTGACCTACCTGATCCATCCTTTCAGATCTACCTAACCCTCTCCCTCAAAAACCTCGGCTTCACCACCACGCAAGCCAACCTCCTCTCCATCCCCTCGACCGTAATCGGGCTGCTCATGCTCCTCTTCACGGCCTACCTCAGCGAGCTCATCAACAGCCGCGTCGCCGCGACGATCGTGCTCCAGCTCTGGGCCCTCCCGCTCCTCGTTACGCTGTACACGTTCGACAAGGGGACGTCGCAGTGGGTGTATTTTGCGGTTGTTACGCTTATTACTGGGTTTCCCGTGCGTCGATTCGCCAGTCCAAAGTGGAAGGCGAGCTGATTTGACGGACGGGTGTAGTACGTGCACCCGATCCAGGTAGCGTGGGCGTCGAGGAACTCGTATTCCGTGCGCACGCGGACGATCTCCGCGAGCTGTTACAACATGTTTGTGCAAGCCGGCGCCATCATATACGTTCGTGGCCATTCATTCACTTTGACTGTGTCCGTGTCTCACCCCGGTTCGTTATCCAGGCCAACATATACAGAACCGACGACAAGGTGTGTCCATCCATAACGCTCTCCTCAAATACCCTGCTCACCTCTCCTCTTTTGTAGCCACTCTGTACGTTTCCAACCCTTCTGACCCTCCCCCTCTCTAACAGCACTCACCGCTAACCACCCCCCCAGACAAACGCGGCAACAGAGTCCTAATCGGAATCTGCTGCATGAACATCGTGCTCTACATCTCCACCTTCTTCTTCTACCGCACCCTCAACAGGTCGCGGGATAAAAAGTGGACGGCGTGGTCGAAGAAGGTATATATGTAGAACTTAACCCTGTTTTGCGTGTTGTCTAACGAGGTATATACAGGAGCAACAAAAATACGTGGAGACGACGACGGATGTCGGTAATGAGAGACTAGATTTCCGGTTTGCGTATTGAAGACATGTATTACGATGAGGAGACATTACGAAGTGAAACGATGAAACAATTTGTTCAACTGTCATGCAGGAAAGGTGAAACGTTGAATCGCCACCGTCCGGCCGGGGGAACAAGAACCAGCGCAAAACGAAGCTACAACAAGCAAAAGAATGATCAGAGTGGGATTCGAACCCACGCCCCGGAGGACCAGATGATCGATGTTAATCAACCAATGAAGCTTCGCAATTGAAGCTGATCCTTAGTCTGGCGCCTTAGACCGCTCGGCCATCTGACCACGAAAGGGGTGCGTGGTTTTGGTTCCAAGTCGGGGGTGCCATACCGACAGCTTTCATGCTGGTGATCTGAGCGCCGCCTAGAAGAACTTGGATCGAGGGATGTTCCGCTGTCATGTACGCTGAAACATAGCACCCTCGGATTCACCTTCATTTCCCTCCACTCGGTTTCTTTCCTGACCCGCCTTTGACTGAATTTCCATATCTGGATGCTGGCGGTAGTGTTGACCTGGAGTCTTTGATCGCATACGCTTCAATGCTTGCTTGCTCCTCGACTCGTTTCCGCGGGATAGGAAATGGGACGGAAGTGCTGGCCATTGCACAGTTGCACTAGCACCAGGCTCTGTCCATGGTCGCCGAAGCTCGATGCGAAATGCCAACCCAACACCCTGATTTCATCTCACCGTCGCAAATCTCTCAAGACACAAGATTGAACTATGGTGATGAGCCAAAGCTGCTTCCTTCCTCCATGTCATCCAACCGCCATTGGGCACCTGTATTCCAGCTAGTACTGCGAATCCCGAACTCATGCGTCAATATGGCGTCGATGGAAACCTTGTTCAATGTTCGGGAAGGGGATCGATTGGATTGGAACGATGGAAACAAGACGATTTAAAGCTGGAATCGGAGTCGCTCCCTCGGACCTCGACTCCCCATCCCATCCTATCGCTATCTTCCAGACTGCCATCCTTCCTTCCCTGCCAGTGGGCGGATCTCGAAACAACTCAATAACACTAGCGCGCCCCAAAGCCGGCACCATCTTTGGAAGCCCGAAGTTGTTCAGTCCCAATTCCAATTGAATACTAATGATGCGCGGCCGGACGTACGGCGCGCGTAAGAGATCTAATGAGGCCGGTCGGTGTCAGTGCCTTGAGCGCTCGCACGCAGAGATCTTCCAGTGCTCCGCGGACGATCCTCGCTCGCGTCGTCGTCCCGAGTGCCGGGGTCACTCGCCTTGTTGCCAACGCGCCGCGCCACGACGACGGTGGACAGCATCGGGCTCATAGGCACCGCGGTACCCAACCAAGGGATGAGGAAGGAGAGCATACTTACACACGAGGATTTTCCGGCTGGTACGCGGTCGCCAGATAATAAACCAAGAGGACCTGGATCAATTAAACGACGGCCGGCCGGGAGGGATGCGAACAACTAACTAGGAGTATACAGCAGACTAGGATGATGTGTGTGGGGGGGATGTACATACATAAAATGCAACGACGACGACGATAGCAAGGACGGAGGGCGCGAATATATATACAATAATGGTCCGTGGGTGATTCAAGTTCCGACTCATGCCTGGAGGCATTTCAGTAAGCGTGCAAGACGCGAGTAAGTAATTCGACGACAAACCTCATAATTCCCCACATTGAAGCTGTCGAATCACACATAAGCCACACAGCCAGAAATCCATGCACCACCACCAACAACGAAAACTCACTGCACATGATCCCCCTCCCCAAGCGTAAGCCTCACAGGCAGCCTCGGGTCAATCCTCACCGGCGCACTATTCCCCACAAAGAAATCCCCACGGCTAAAATTGCGCACCACGGCCGTCTCCTCCTCCGTGAGCACGCGGTGCGGCCGCTTCGCAGGCCGGAACGTCGACGACGACGCGCCCGTGAAGGTCCCGTTGTAGTCGTAGTACTGCTGGTGGTTTAGCGTCATTCCCGGTTGCGCCCCCGAGGCGGCGGCGACGGCGTATACTGGCGGCGCCGCGGTTGCGAAGGTCGTCGTCGTGCCCCCTGGCGTCGACACGGATTCGCCTCCTGTGTTGTGTTGGAATGATATGGTTGGTGTTGGTGAGGGGATGGATGTACGTGCCTGCGGCCCCGGCGGCGTGCCCTTGCTGCTGCTCCGGATTCATGTTCTCGGGCGGGGGATACGTGCAGACGTTGCCGAGCCCGCGCTTAAGACAGTTCTGCATAGTAGTATGCGCGATTAGAATCGGATGAGAAGTAAGTAGAATTGTAAAACAAAATAATGAGCAGACATACCTGACAAGGCAGCACCTCACTGCACCGTGTCTTCCCGGCATGGCAAGCAGTGCACGCGCGACGGACTGAGGGCCCTTTCGCTGCGATTTTATTGAATCTGCGATTATTGTGGGATGGGATGGTTTCACGCACGCTTGCGGATACTGTTCAAGGGCGAGTCGCCCAGTGGGGACTGCGCCTGCTGCTGCTGCTGCTGTTGTTGCTGCTGCTGCTGCTGCTGCTGCTGTTGCTGGATCTGGTGTTGTTGCTGCTGGGGGTGCTGGGGATGGTGTTGCTGCTGGGGGTCGGTAACGATTTGTTGCGGGTCCGACTCGGATGCCATTATCCCGGACGGCGCTCGGCGTACGGAGGCGGGGACGGCGAGCGGCGAGCGCTACGGTAGAGCTGTGACTGTCTGTCTGTCACAACAACGTATCCAGTCACCCCCTTAGGATCACCGGCTACCTGCTATAAGTAGCTCCTCCAAGATCCTCACCGAAGTACTAGTCCCTCATGCAGCAGCCCATGTCCCCACCCCCGCCGTTCCCCGAATTCGTCGACTTTTCCTTCGACGGGAGCATGTTCCCCACGCCCCCTCCCCTCCCCTCCTCCGCAGACCTCTTCTCTCCCGCAGAAACCACGGATCTTCTAGGCTTCCTCGACAATTTCAATGATTTTAGTTGGGAGACGACGACTGGCGGTGACCAACACCAAAACCAAATAATAGAACAACAACAACAGCCCGAGCCCCAGGCATACACCTCCCCGCGACTCGGAGCTCCGTATTCGAACCCGCATCTGAATACCGCGCCGGAACCGTCTACCTCGGGACGGCCGCCCAGACGGAGTACACGGCGCTCGACTGCTGCGAGTCGGGCGCCCCCACAGCAGCCGCAACCACAATTGCGCACCCGACGCGGTGCGGACCGACACCGCGGTGATGTCTCTCCCAGACGCGGCGATGATCGCGACAGCCAGACACCGTCCGAAACGTCGTCACACTCGCACCCCGAGCAGTCGTCGTCGTCCCAATCCCAATCCCAATCCCAATCCCAATCTGCCGTCGCGAGCACCACCACCCCCACCGCCGTCCCCCGCGGCTCCAAGCCCCTCCTCTCCACGCCGCAAAAGCGCCTCAACCACATCATGTCCGAGCAAAAGCGGCGCAACGCCATCCGGGACGGGTACGCGCAGCTCATCGCGCTCCTCGCCCCCGCGGGCTCGGCACCGGGGTTGGGCATGCCGCAGCGCGGGCGCCCCAAGGGCAGCGGTAGTAGGGGCGGGAAGGGGGGGCAGAAGGGGAAGAGCGGGGTGTTGTTTCGCGCGGTGGAGTATATTAGGTGGTTGGAGGAGGGGCGGGATGCGTTGAGGGAGGAGGTGGGGAGGGTGGAGGCTGTTGCGGGAATTCGGTCGTGAGTGCTGCTTGTTGTATGAATGAGTGTGTACGAGGTGCGTTTTTCTCTCTTTTCTTTCGTTCGTGTTCGGTATGATACTGACTGACTTTGCTGTCAGATTATATCATTATTAGACGTGTCGATACCCACCCCATCCTGCATGGTTGTTCTAATATCAATGGACTCGGGGGCTTATCTTGCGGCGGCTTCGGTGCTTGAGTCGTCGCTTTTAGGACGACGACGCGTTGATCCATGGTTCTTCCTCGAAGACCATTTCCTATTGAGTTGACTGGCGCCCCAGCAGACTCTGACGCGTGTACACACGCCGAGTGCACGCGTCGCCCCCGCGTGGGCTTAAGCGTTAACGGGAGATACGGGAGACTGATGTCACAGGTAACAGGTCACTTCGCTCTGCTCGCTTCCACCACCTCGCGTCGCGGCAGCGATTTTTGCGCGCTGGGCTGCTCATCGCACCGTTCACCTCTTCGACTACGACAGCCCGTATCCGTTCCGAGCCTTCCTACGACCTCGAACGCCCTCTGTGCTAGCTGCTCATCGCGCCGTCCACGCTTCCTCAATGCCTCGTCTATCGCTCACGTCGTCTCCGCGCTATCGCTATCGCCACCGACCTTGACTCACAACGACTTCGACGACCCGTATACTCTCTGTGGTCTTCACTACGACCTCGAGCGCCATCCTATATGTAGCCCATAGCTGGCTGAAGCGATTTTCTGAGCGATGCTAGTCCCCGTGTGTCCGTCATCGAGGACGCGGTGTGTTTCTGTTATCATTTCCTTCCCTCTTTCTCCTTGTCGCAGCGCTCCGGTTGGGGTGCCCGCCGCCATCGCGTTTACCGGTCGCGCTTCACTTTGGGAGCGCTGCTCCGGTTGGGGGGGTCCGGCTGTTCGCTTTCTGGCGTCGGTTTTCCCCAGTCTCGCGTCGCGCTGGCCGCCGGCTGCCCATGCGAGTTTTGTCTCCCATTTCCCGGAGTTGCTTTCATGCACTCTCGGGGCCGGGAGCGTCTCGTGCGAGCTACATCTCCCACTTCCCGGAGTTGCTTTCATGCACTCTCGGGGCCGTCTCACAGCGGCCTGCGGCCGCGGCTGACACACCCATCCATCTCTGCATATTTCTTTTGCCAAGTCACGGCATCTTTACATGAATTTTTGTCTCCCCCAGTCTCTTCGGAGATATCTTGTGGCCTAGCGCTCCTCGGAGCGCATTTACTTACATGTCGTGACTGTACTACATCGCAGCTCCCAGAGCGCGATGAGCTAGCGTATCTAAATATGGGCGCGGAGGCTTCTAATTAGCCCATTGGGTGATCTCTTATGATTTTCGCCCGAGTCCGGCTGCGAGGGTATGGGCCATATAGTGTCCAATAAATAAAAAACTGAAATGACAACTAAAAGTTGAAATGACACCAAACCAAAAAAAGTTCAAATGATTATCTTGCCAGAAAAAGTTGAAATGACACATCTGTTGAAAAACATGCCCATAGCTTGCCCATAGCAAGTCACTTTGAGAGGAAGTTGTACTTCGCTTATGATGACTGCACCCCTCTGGCCCGTCCACCCCACAACGCGCGTCACCGTCTTACACGCCCTCTTCCGCCACGACTCGCTGGCACCCTCG